TGAAACGATTGGATATCAGAGTAATCTTTAACTATCCCTGAATAAATGAGTACGAGCGGGAACCATTGCAATATTCATGCAACATCGACCTCAAAGCACAAGAGCCAGGGTCTTCAAGATCTCGTCCAAATTACCCATGAATAACCTATTGAACCATCCTTTCCGAACAGCCCATTACGCTAGTCATTAAAGATGGACAGGAGGTGATAAATGCACCCCTTAGCGTCCATTAAACGGTTTCACACTTTTTTTCACACTTCCTGTCTTTTTTTCTTTCTTTCTTTTTTTTTTTGGGGGGGGGGGTCCTCTAACGATCTTTAATACCTTCTTTTTTAGTGTTTCGTCCTTTAACGATCTTTCATTTTCCCTCTCTCTCTCTCTCTCTCTCTCTCTCTCTCTCTCTCTCTCTCTCTCTCTCTCTCTCTCTCTCTCTCTCTCTCTCTCTCTCTCTCTCTCGCTCTCTCTTCTATTTTTCTCTTTTTTTCTACAGGTATCCGCAGCCCTTCCTAAGACATCGTACTTTAAGATGGTGGATATCTGGCTTCTGTTCTGCATTATCCTCACTTTCGTCATCATCATCTGGCACACCGTCCTGGATATTCTTCAAAATAATCCCAAGACGCTGATGGTGGCTGGCATTGGTGATAATAAGGTAAGTAATGAGAGAGGGGAGAAGAGGAGGGAAAGGGAGGTGAGGAGAGGGTAGAAGGGGGGAGAAGTGAAAGGGAGGGGAGGAGGGGAGTAGAGGAGAGTGAAAGGGAAAGGGAAAGGAAGGGTGTGGAGAGAGAGAGAGAGAGAGGGGGGGGGAAAGATGAAAGAAAAAAAAAGTGGGAGAGAGGAAGAAAAGCGAGAACAAAAGGCTAGGAGAGAGAGAGTGTGTGGGTGGGTGTGAGAAAGGGAGATGGGGAGAGAGAAAGGATGAAAGAAAAAAAAAGTGGGAGAGAAAGGAAGAGAATCCAGAACAGACAAAAAAATCGCGGGTTAAGGGAGTGACTTCAAATCTTACAATACCAAGAAAAAAATATATATAAATAAATAAATAAAATAACAAATCCAACAAAGATATTGCATATATTCCACCTAACCACATTCCACACACACCTCTCCTTCAGGTACGACTCCAACCTCCAGACATGAACAGCAAATGGATCAGGAAAAAAAATCTTGCCGAAAGAGCTGTCACTTATTCGCACACTTCGGTTGTTGTTATCTTTTTGATCTTCAATATGGCCTACTGGTTCTATATCCTTTTTTGATAACGTTATTCAGATTGACAAAAAAAAGGAACGGAGGAAGGAAGAGGAAGAAGAAGAAGAAGATAAAAAGAAATTTTTAAGTGTTCAGAGCTTTGCAAATAGGGTTATGGTCTTCATAATCACGCCACTTATATGTGTGTGTTAGGCACTTCATAGAAAGATTTTTGATGGTAATGATAATAATAATTATTAATATAATGATGATGATGACAAGAATATTATAAATAATGATAAGAGATAAAAAAATAAAATAACGATAAGTGAACAGAACAAGGGGATGAAGAAGAGAAATAAAAGAAAATGAGAAGAAATGCTAAAATAGCTAAGATAAAGTTGATAATGATAGTAATAATCATGATAATATTAATGATAATGATGTCACAGTGATGATGGTGATAATTATAGCAATGATAATAGTTATAATGATAATAATGATAATGGTAAAACAGTAATGATGATAATAATGATAATGATAAAAAATATATAATAATGATAATGATAAAAATATACAATGATAATGATAAAAAATATATAATCATGATAATAAAAAATGATGATAATGATAATGAGAAATAATGATAATGATAATAAGGATGATAATGATGTGATGATGAGACGGTAATAAAAGTAGTAATGATAATCTTTATTATTCACTGAAAATTTTCTGCCGTTCCAACATCTAAGGCCATTAGCGACGCATTCAAAATGTAGCGACAGGGTGAGCCTAGGAGCCGACGCCCCTAGGGTTTTTTTTTTTTTTTTTTATTATTATTATTTAATAAGTTTGTGTATATGCAGAATGGTTAGTGGTCAAAGCAAATAAATGTGCCAGATATCAAAGGTCATATAGCAATATGATACAGTATTGAGGCGAAAAGGGTAAAATTGGGTTAACGGTTAGGATAAGTGAACAGAAGAAGGGGATGAAGAAGAGAAGGAAAAGAAAAGGAGGAGGAGAAGAAATACTCATGCAAAAATAGCTAAGACTCGGGCGGAGATCCAAGGAAAGAGTGATTCCTACATTGGGTCCCAGTCCCCATCTTTTAATCCCCCCCCCCCCCACGGCAACAATGAGCAAGAGATTGGTGGGCATGATAATTATAATGATGATGATAATGTTGATTATGATGATGATAATAATGATAGTAATGTTCGTGTCTATAACTTATTCTCATTCTAATTGTTATGACTGTTGTTATTAACATCTTTATCATTATCATTATCTTTATCATTATCCTACTTATAATTACCTTCATCACCAGTCGGGTTTTTTTCTATTTTTATTTTCATTATCATAATCAAAAAGAAAAGAAAATTCGCCCATGTCTTATACACTGGAATGTCCTTAGATATCACAGCCTGCTAAAAGGATCTATCAACCATTTCCCTAAGTATAAAAAGAAAATGGCTTATAGTTATTATTGCACCAAGTATCAATTTAGCTTGTTTATTAATCAAAGTGTAATATTATCAAAGAAGGCACTTTGATATGTTTCTATAATGGTGATTCACTATAGAAAGTTACTGTGATGTAGAGTGTATTTAGGGGTGTTGTCTGCACATAGATTTCAAATGTGTATTATGATTGTTTTTTATTGTTTATTTATTGTTTTTTTATCCAGATATTACTTTCTGCTTGTTTAATTGTTGATGTTTTTTTCACTGTCTGGATTTATATATTTTGTATTTATATTTATGGATTGCATTGCTAAATAAACTTACTACATTGGTGATGCTATTTAAATATCTGCCATTCCTGTGCTATACGAGACCATCTTGATATAAATTATACTTTTTTCCATCTCTTCCTTCTTTCATATATTTCCTCTACAACTTTTTTTTCTCTTTCATACAAAATACATGTTTAAAATCAACCCCAATCCCTTTCTATTTCTCTTTTAATACAATCTCCATCCCTCCTCTCCTCCTCTCTTGCATCCCTTTCTATCTTTTCTGTCTCTAAAGTTTACAAACTTCACACTGCAAGACAATGCAAGGGTCATGTGAAGTTGCTGCCTTTGGAGATAGGCAATATTTTTTTTCTTTCACTATTAGTAAATCAAGAATTATGGTTAAAACAATCAATTGCTTCCCTGAATTTCATATCACAAAATTGGAGAATGATACACAAAGATTTTATTGGGTTGACAAAGAAGCAAAAATACATATAGATTTTGTTGATGCTAGAACCATTAGTTTAATTATTCACATTTATTGTCTGAGTGATATTTTTTTTCATTGCCAGTGACTCACCACTTCAGCATTCAGCATGTCCATCATCCTCTCTCTTTAACTATTTAATAGATTCTATATTTTCTATTTCTGTGGTAACTATAGCATCTCTAAGGCCTCTATTGCATGACGGTTGATTTTCAAATCAAAATTGTTATGGTATTTTTCTCAAGAAAGCAAAATGCTGGCAGTTTAGATATTAATTTAGTTTGAAGAGAACCAGATAGAAGTGAAGTTCCTGTTATATATGCTGAGATTCATGGTTAACTGCTGCATTAGCCAAATAACTATATTTCAAGCAGCTTTCTACAAATTATTGAAAACCATAGTTATGAGTTTACCACTATGAGAAGCATATGAAAAAATTATCTATTGAAAATTTTCTGCCACATCAACATGAATGAAGAAAAGAAGTAAAAGAAAAGAATAAAAGACCATGCAAAAATAGTTGAGGCAATGGCTGAGGATCAAGGCAGGGATGATCCCCTACATTAGGTGTCTCCATCTCCCAAGTCCCCCCACAACAATGAGCAAGGAATGGGGGGGGATGAAAAAGAGCACTGCCTTCTTCCTGCAGCCAACACTGATCCAATTTACTGATGTAATGAGTCTTTTAGTGTCTCATAGAATATGGGTCAAGCACACCAGAATTTTTTTATTTAAGTCAGAACTATAGTCATAGCAGTTGATAGATCAAAAACCCTAAGAAAACCAAGCTAGAATATGCAGTTATTTTGATGGTCTCCTTTTCCTTTTTTTTCTTTTATTTTATAGAGGTATAGAATATGTACTCATTCTCAAGGAAGATAGTAAGAATATTACTTCCTTCATAAGCAAATGTATTCATCCAACTAGAAGACAATACTCACATTAGTTCTTCACTTCTGGCTGTTTATTTCAGAGGTTTAGAACAAGTCGTTTAATTCAAGTTAAGTTAGGTTAGAATATAAACGAGAAAGGCTCACAAAGATTTTTTTTCTACCACTAAAGGGTTCCCAAACTGAAAACAAGTTATGGACAGTCAAACAAAAAACAAAAACAAAAAAAAAAATAAACCTTACAAAATCAATTTTTATCACTTGTTCATAAGAAGAAAAGTTAAGAATACCCTCCTCACATTTTTTCAAAATTTCAGTTGGACAAAGTGTCCTTGAAAAGGAGAAATTAAATAGCTTGGTAATTCCATATATTTTTTACTTGATGCTTTAACCCGAATCTACCATGCCAGTGGGAAAGCATGTATCTGGATACTTTAGGCAACATTGGAATATGACATTTTCATTTTCTCATATTCAAGAAAAATGGTCTTATAATGTAGATCTGTTCCCTGTGTTAGACATTTTATTAAATATACCTGAATAGTTGACTTTTTTCTCCTGTTATGAAGGGTCACTATATTCAAACAAAAATAAATATATATACATCCTTGACAACTCTTGAATGAATCTAAGCATACTTATTAGTTTTACCTTATCACTCAATATAACCCAATACATAAGTAAAAGACACTGAAACAAAGTGATATTTATTTCAAGCCATAAAAATAGTGCTACAGTAATTAAGAAGGCATATTGCATAGACACAAAGGAGGCTATTCTTTGGAAGTACTGGCAACCAATGTATTATAATCTGTGCAATTGATTCTACACTATATCTATAAAAAAATATCCAATAATGATACATAAACCAGACACACATGAATCACTGAAAATTTATTCCTGTTAAAGCTTATATATTATATAGGTAATAGACAAGTATATTTACAGCTGCAAGAAATTATGGAATGCTCCGAGACTTCTACCATCTCTGTTTTGAGGAATAAAATCATTGGTATCTAAATATTACATGTCTTACGGATGGAGAACTTCCAATACATGAAAAGTCTACCAAAGATAAAGACAGAAATGGTAGATTCCTGACAATTACAAAACATCTAGCAGTTCTTATAACAAAGATGCAAGTCACATTCATTTTACATTTAATACAAAATATTAAAGAATGAACCAAAGTTACAAGAATAAAAATTGAGAAGAAAATCATATCATGTCTGCCATGAACACATTTAAAAGTTAAAGAGGTATAGATTTGGTAATTAACTCGAGATTCTGTACATTCATTCCTGACGTTTTACAAAAGCACAAAAAAATCATACTTTGCAACGTTTTACAAAAGCACAAAAAGAATCACACTTTGCAAAGAGGAATTCAAACAACACCCACTCATCACATGCAGGCGATTGTTTAGGAATGTAAAAAAGAAATCCCTACGATGGACCTATCAATAATAAAAATAAAGAAAGAAAAATAAAAAAAAAAAAAACAGAGGAAAGAAGTGGAAGGCTGACTTGACTGTAAAATTTATCGAATGGTTTGAGCGAGCATGGATATCGGATGGCCTTTGTTTGCATCCGCCTGTTTCTTGTCCTTTTTATCCATGGCCCAGCATTTCCACATTCGGATGGTCTCGTCGGCTGCTGCGCTCACTACCATCTGGCCGTCAGGAGACACACATAGCTCCAGTACTCTGCCAGTGTGACCTGTAAGGGAAGGCAACGAGGATTTTAGTCAATGTTCTTGAAAATACTCTAGATAATAATAGAAGTTTTGTTTAGATTTAAAATGCATAATTTGTAACACTTTGTGTTCTTGTTTAATAACACTGGCTAAGTAATGAGGGAAAATAGTAATAACCTCATGAAACAAATAAACAGGAAATGTAATAAAATTGTCAACATCTAAATACAAAAATTGGATAATCACATAAGAAATTAAGTTAAAGAATTGTATGGAAGAGTTCTAATTAATTTTCCTAAAATCTGAAACAATAATAGTCATGACATCACTATAAAAAAAGTAAAATAAATACATAAATAAAAGTCAAAAGATATTGATGCAACTTACCTGTGAGGTCAGCCACCTTTGCCATAGTTGGGTACTTCCAGATGGTTAGCTGATTATTAGAGAATCCATGGCCTGATATGAACTCTTTGTAGTGTGCCGACCAAACAATGGATGACACCTAAATAAACATATAAATAAATTAGTATCCATTCATTAAACCTAACTTTTAATGTTCATGTATCTATGAAAATATTTAACCACCATACTACTGAGAAACAATAACAGACAATATGTTATCATCTATTATAAACCCAATTAAGGCTGATGACATCTATGTGCCATGGTGAGTGTGGGCCAGAGTTGTAGATGGCAACTACAGGCATGAAGTCTTATAGCTCCAACACGACTAGTTCTCAAGTTACAGCCTTGCAAGATCAATCAATCAAATAAGTGACAATCATAGCCCCCATCACAACAATTACTCTGAACTTCTGTTCTTCAGTCTGTAATTCATTAAAATCATTAAAAAATAATAATAATAATAAAATGATTTAAAAAATAATAAAAAATTGAAAAAAAAAAAAAAAAATACTGAATAAACAGAAGGATCCTAATATTAAAAGTAATCATCATATAGCTATCTAATATGTGTTGCTCTTCTAACCAGAGAAAAATATGAAAAAAGGTATGAATGAGAATAAATATCTTCACAGCATAAGAGATATACCTGACAGTGTTTGACTGTGCTGCTGAGATATTCATTTTCATTCAACATGTCACAAGGGAAATCCATGGCCCAGCATTTCCACATTCGGATGGTCTCGTCGGCTGCTGCGCTCACTACCATCTGGCCATCAGGAGACACACATAGCTCCAGTACTCTGCCAGTGTGACCTGTAAGGGAAGGCAACGAGGATTTTAGTCAATGTCTTGAAAATACTCTAGATAATAATAGAAGTTTTGTTTAGATTTAAAACGCATAATTTGTAACACTTTGTGTTCTTGTTTAATAACACTGGCTAAGTAATGAGGGAAAATAGTAATAACCTCATGAAACAAATAAACAGGAAATGTAATTTTTTTTTTTTTTTTTTTTTTTTTTTTTTTTTTTTTTTTTTTTTTTTTTTTTTTTTTTTTTTTTTTTTTTTTTTTTTTTTTTTTTTTTTTTTTTTTTTTTTTTTTTTTTTTTTTTTTTTTTTTTTTTTTTTTTTTTTTTTTTTTTTTTTTTTTTTTTTTTTTTTTTTTTTTTTTTTTTTTTTTTTTTTTTTTTTTTTTTTTTTTTTTTTTTTTTTTTTTTTTTTTTTTTTTTTTTTTTTTTTTTTTTTTTTTTTTTTTTTTTTTTTTTTTTTTTTTTTTTTTTTTTTTTTTTTTTTTTTTTTTTTTTTTTTTTTTTTTTTTTTTTTTTTTTTTTTTTTTTTTTTTTTTTTTTTTTTTTTTTTTTTTTTTTTTTTTTTTTTTTTTTTTTTTTTTTTTTTTTTTTTTTTTTTTTTTTTTTTTTTTTTTTTTTTTTTTTTTTTTTTTTTTTTTTTTTTTTTTTTTTTTTTTTTTTTTTTTTTTTTTTTTTTTTTTTTTTTTTTTTTTTTTTTTTTTTTTTTTTTTTTTTTTTTTTTTTTTTTTTTTTTTTTTTTTTTTTTTTTTTTTTTTTTTTTTTTTTTTTTTTTTTTTTTTTTTTTTTTTTTTTTTTTTTTTTTTTTTTTTTTTTTTTTTTTTTTTTTTTTTTTTTTTTTTTTTTTTTTTTTTTTTTTTTTTTTTTTTTTTTTTTTTTTTTTTTTTTTTTTTTTTTTTTTTTTTTTTTTTTTTTTTTTTTTTTTTTTTTTTTTTTTTTTTTTTTTTTTTTTTTTTTTTTTTTTTTTTTTTTTTTTTTTTTTTTTTTTTTTTTTTTTTTTTTTTTTTTTTTTTTTTTTTTTTTTTTTTTTTTTTTTTTTTTTTTTTTTTTTTTTTTTTTTTTTTTTTTTTTTTTTTTTTTTTTTTTTTTTTTTTTTTTTTTTTTTTTTTTTTTTTTTTTTTTTTTTTTTTTTTTTTTTTTTTTTTTTTTTTTTTTTTTTTTTTTTTTTTTTTTTTTTTTTTTTTTTTTTTTTTTTTTTTTTTTTTTTTTTTTTTTTTTTTTTTTTTTTTTTTTTTTTTTTTTTTTTTTTTTTTTTTTTTTTTTTTTTTTTTTTTTTTTTTTTTTTTTTTTTTTTTTTTTTTTTTTTTTTTTTTTTTTTTTTTTTTTTTTTTTTTTTTTTTTTTTTTTTTTTTTTTTTTTTTTTTTTTTTTTTTTTTTTTTTTTTTTTTTTTTTTTTTTTTTTTTTTTTTTTTTTTTTTTTTTTTTTTTTTTTTTTTTTTTTTTTTTTTTTTTTTTTTTTTTTTTTTTTTTTTTTTTTTTTTTTTTTTTTTTTTTTTTTTTTTTTTTTTTTTTTTTTTTTTTTTTTTTTTTTTTTTTTTTTTTTTTTTTTTTTTTTTTTTTTTTTTTTTTTTTTTTTTTTTTTTTTTTTTTTTTTTTTTTTTTTTTTTTTTTTTTTTTTTTTTTTTTTTTTTTTTTTTTTTTTTTTTTTTTTTTTTTTTTTTTTTTTTTTTTTTTTTTTTTTTTTTTTTTTTTTTTTTTTTTTTTTTTTTTTTTTTTTTTTTTTTTTTTTTTTTTTTTTTTTTTTTTTTTTTTTTTTTTTTTTTTTTTTTTTTTTTTTTTTTTTTTTTTTTTTTTTTTTTTTTTTTTTTTTTTTTTTTTTTTTTTTTTTTTTTTTTTTTTTTTTTTTTTTTCTTCTTTTTTGGGGTCAACTTACTTTGACAGCGGCTTGATGCTGAGTTAGCGTGTGGACCGGAGTAGTATTCATGCTATCCCAGATGTTTACCTGATTATCATTTCCACCCGAGGCAAGCAAACGCCCATCAGGAGACCACTTCAGACCACATACCTCCTATTGTATAAAGGGACAGAATCTATTAATAAAATGGCATGAGTGTACACTTGTGCAGTTGCTATGTAGATACAGAACTGCTGAAATCAAGTATTGATTTTCTGGTAAATCCTTCATTTTAAAGTGATTATCTCTGAAGCAAATGAAAAAAGAAAGAAAAATGAACTCACAAATACTCATTTTGTTCATCTCATTTGTCAATCAAGTACTATAATCATAATTAAGTATTTCAGTCTCTAAATATAAAAATAATAAATAGGTAATGTTTATGTCTGTATTTCAAAAATGAAATGAAGCTTAGCGTTTACATCTTTGTTACATGATCTCTATGATATGAAACCTTGCAATCAGAGTAATAAAACCCCTGTATAAAAATCTCTCATACAGCTTTGCAAATGTATTGGATAGAGAATGAATTTGAGAGAGAAATAAATGGTAATCCAAACTAGCATTTGACAAATACACATTTCTGCCAAAAATATAATAGAAACCAACATACAACTGTTTTACATGCAAAAATAAAATTTACACAGCCCCATCAAAAATACAAAAACAACCTACAGAGCACAAGCCCAAACCTCATTTACCTGTGAATGTCCAGCTAAGGTCGCCACATGATGCTCAGCCACTCTGACATCATGGTGGAAAATCTGTCCTGAGCGTGAACCGGAGGAGAGGATGTACGAGTTCCAGGAAAGGGTGGTGACGCGGCTCTCATGGCCACCCATAGAGCGCACAAGCTTCTGCTGTGCAACATCCCACAGCTGTGTGACACCCGAGCTATTGCCAATGGCGAGCACGTTACCTTGTTGGAGTGGGAAAGTGAATGTGTAAGTGTAAACATGTACATTAATATGAAAAATCATCTTGTTAATTATTAAGCAAGTTTAGGGTTTTGCAAACAAGAATATTGAACCATAAAAAACAAAAATAAAAAAAACAATAAATAAAAATTTATGACTGAATGTTTCAGAATATCTTTAAATATCTTTTTTTTTTACTCACTGAAAGTGGTAAATTAATGTAATTACAGCAGGAAAGATTTCATTTAAACTGGACTTTGACACATACTAATTGATCAACTCTGTACCAGAATTACTATTCAACAATTTTGATTGTATTTATGCATTACCAAATTACAATCAAGAAAGAACAGAGAGAAAGTGAACAGTAATCATAACAACTGGTTAAAAACATCTAAGAAAAAATGCTTCATTTCACAAAGCAGTTCCTAAGTCTAAAGGCTTAAAGCCTCTAGGGATATGTTAAACAATACTTTTCCCTTTTAAATACTGACATTTCCATTCAAAACATTCTCAACATAAAACAAATACTTACAGAGATGAACTAGTAACTAAACTCACCTTCCTTGATCCACGACAGAGAGCAGATATAGTCGGGGTCGTCCAGCTGGCAGAGGGGGGTAATGGAACCATCACCAGCATTCCAGACATACACCGAATTTCCCAGAGCAACAGCCAAGTGGTTGTTCACACTCCAGTCGAGAAGGTGAAGATCTTCGGGGAGGGGAGATAATGCATTACTTTGGGCTATTAGTTCTTATCCTATAGACATGTTTTTGCAGTACTGCCCTTTTACAAGGTCTATATTTGTCATCTCTTATGCTATATCATGAGCATAACAGACTGTTTTAATTTGGTATACTTCATATTATAACTCCAGGTCATTCACACTGTACAATAGCAGTAACAAGAAGTACTGAGCTTTTTTTTACTATAAACCTCAGCAAACCCTAACTGTAGTTAACAGGCACATGGTCTACTGTCCTCCCTGTAGTCAGCACTTTCCTAGACATGGTTCAGAGGGTACACTCCACCCTCATTTATCATTAGAAATATCACCAAAACCCCTTTCTGTAAGCCCGCTGATTCAATCTTTCTCCAAAAGCCTGTGTACTCATGGCGAGACATCCCCCTCATCCTCTGCTTGGCAACAGTTCTGCCTGCCAAGCCATTCCTGTCACAATGGCCCCCAGCAAATTTTCTTCATGACAACACATTCCAATCATCCACCCCCCATCCATTTTTTTTTTCTTTTCTTTTTTTATAACATCCCCATCAGCCGGATCCAGTGAGTTAAAGAGAAGGAAAAAGTTATAAAAAAAGTGCTGCAACTAAAGGGGACTTACCCATGAAACAAAGACGAAATTGAAGGCTAAGCAATATAGAGTCTCTGTAGTTTCAACATTTGTTTTTCCTAAAACTCAAAATTGTCAATATATGAATGTCCCATAGAAAAAGATAACAAAATACCTGCAGTATCACAAAAGGACCAAAGCAGGTACGCAGGCTATGCAACTATGTACCTAAAGGAAAAAAGGACCTTAACGAAAGACAGATTAAAACTTACAGTAATCATCAAGAAGTTCCGGGGCATCAAGAACCTTTTCTGGCATGTTGGGAATGTGTCTTGTCGTGGCAGCCTTGGGCACAGTGGGTTTTCCGGCACTGTACAGCACTTTGTGGTTGTTCAAATGTCCTGAGAGAAATGATTCATCAGTCTTCTTTAGGAACTTTGCATCTTATATGATTTTTTTTTAAATTGACAATTCCTACTTATCAGAATCTTTTGATATCATTTACTTTTTAATACAAAAAGCGGTGTAATTTCCATGTATTCTCTATTCCAAAAAGAGCACAAATGAAGAAAAAATCATGTAAAAAATAATAACAGTATTGATTCAAATATTATACACAATCTAAAAATAACAGACACACACATCATACCAAAAAATAAACACCTACTTTCACAGCAAATTTCAAACAATCAAAAGCCTACATACACATATACACACAGCTGCATAGTCACCCACTAACTTTTGTCTCGACTAAAATTCATACATTCAGCCAAACCAGACATGATACACATAATTCATGTCTCTTGCATTACCAGAGACATGATGCAGATAATTCATCTCTCTTGCATTACTCTATATACTCTGTAAATTTAATATTACCTTCTTTTGCTTGTGGTGCCTTGCTCTTGAATGACAAAACCCTCAATTCAGGTGCCACCCCATCGTTTAGGTTCTCTGTCATCTTTTCCTGATATTCCTTCTGTTGAGCAAAATACATGATCATGTTAAAGTAACATGTACGTAATCACAGAATTACTTCAGTAAATCTTATGCTAACCTGCTGGTGCCAGATAAGTGCACAATCTACTATAGTTATTCTTTAATTCAGTTTACACCTACACAACTTCACAAGCGCTTAGTCGACAAGGAATCAATTACAAGGTCTATCTGATCTTACCTATTTAACTCCATCCCTTGAATTTTTTGGACATTTTTATTTCTATTACTATTATCATCTTTACTATTACTACTACTGGTGTTTATCTTTATCACAGTCAAAATGATATTAACAATAATAACAGTGATTGAATAAAACTCAAGATCTGGGAGAAATGGGCAACATTAGAAAAGTTTAGTAACTAACTCCTTTGTCTAACTGCTTCTGAAACTATCTATATATAAAAAATATGAATGAATTAAAGCCATTTTAAACAACATTTGTCAATGCATAACTCTCATACACATGAAGTTTATGGTTTAAGATTAAGTCAAAGGTAAATTCAGTCTGCCTCTATAGTATAAGGATAACCCCGAGACCATTACATATTGCAGAATGCAAAGCTAGAAAATACTTCTAGTATAAAAACCATTGCAACAGACAAAACTTTACAGAAATATGTATGGGTTTACTTTTTACTGCATCTGCACTTTTGTACTGGGACATATAAATATGAGACATGAGAAAAATTATAAAAATAATATGAAAATGGTCTTTAACCTGCTGAAGCGACACTTCATCCTCCTCTGCAGACTTGTCTCCTCCTGAAGCCTCCATGCTGGTGACCAAGAGGTGGTGAGAACGTTCCGTATCTGTGGTGCTTCGGTTTGGAATGAATCTGCAAAGGAAGACTTTCATTAAGAGACACACAACCATACCTGGGAATAACATCACCTTATTTTGAATTTATATTAATCTGACAGACATATACAAAGAAAAGACATGTGAAAGAAATCAAATAATAAGAGTAGAAAAGAAAACAGGGAAAAGAAAGAGAGGAGGGGGTGGGGGAATAAACCCTCTACTTAACCCACCTGTCTTGCTGGTTATGTGGCGTGGCGGGAGTTTTGCGAGAGGGAGTCTTCTGTCCTGCGCCACGAACTGTCAGCTTTGGGATCCTGCGACCTGGCGACTTAGACCTGCCTGATTGGGGGGTGAGGGGGTGGGTCAAAATATATAATAGTCTCAGAAGAATGTTTCTAACAAACAACTGGAGGAGACTTAAAATTTACAAAAAATTAAAAGTATATGAAGAGTAAAGCATGTTACTACTCAGATTAATAAAAATGGTCTAAAAAGGCAATTAATCTCAATAACAAATCTTAAAAAAGCAAGCAAGCTCATCTATGTACTTGCAACATGTAGCCAAAAAACTTAATTGATGACATAGACACAAAAATACTAACTTGGAGACTTTCCTCGACCAGGGCTCTTGGTATCAAGGAAAGATCTGCTGTGTGGAGTCTTAGCTGACTTCGGACTGTTATAACCGGATTTGTTGGCAAAACCTTCAAAAAGAGAAGAGATTAGAAAGGCTAAACAAGCACATATTACTGGGGCTGTACTCAAATTCATAACTTAGGAGCAAAATATATTATAACTGCAAGCTTTACATGAATAAATGCAGACTATTTTGAGGAGAACTAAGGCCCACTGTATGAATGAGATGTTCCTACCATCCCAAATGTATGACATATTTCAGTATCGCAATATGCAAACAAACTGAAATAATTTCTGAAATAAAACATCTGTAATGTGGTCCTCTTACTGGAGTTTAATCATTCAATATTTTACTTATAAAAGAAAGCTCTGAAGAGATATATTAATACTCTATATATTAAAAGGATTAAATATCACAGCAGTATGGAAAACAAAAAATAACAATTACAAAATATATGTTATTTACAAGATTAATCAATGTTTTGTCTATTTAATGCATAATGTATCTTATAAAAAGTTGTACAAATGTCAATATCATTCACTACCCAAGATATAAACAAATTAACATACCATTATCTAATACCAAAGATCTCTTTTTGCATAACTGTTCAAAAGGACTTACTGTTTTCGTTGCTTATGGAGAGTTGTTGCATTCCCTGTTCCATCGCCTTCCGCTGCCACCTGGGAATTGGCCCCCTCGTCAAATCTCCGTCCATCCTTAACGCTTCACTGAGCTTAGCGTCAAACTGAAGGTGGGACATCTTGCCGTTTATTTATGAATTTGGTCTCTTTTTTACTTTTGTTGGCTGCTCCCTAGACTATGCTCTGCAATGCAATGAAACGATACTGATATAACTAACTAAAGCTCAAAATTTTAATAAGATTAAAAGGGTGAGTCAAACCAAACCACAATTGATAAAACAAAAAACAACAACAAAAAAAGTAGTAGATACAAGAGGGAAAAAATGTTCAAATGATATGATATTGCATGCAACTGAAAAATATCCTAGCAATTAGTATACTAAATAAAAATCTGTTAAAATAAGTTTATTTCAACATCAACTTGTCATGCACATATCGCACTACCAGATCTCTATTTTCCTACCATTAAATCTGTGACCATTTCTAAATCTGAGGAAAAAATTCTAATACTTGCTTCTTTGAGTATCTGTTCAGAACAGGTTCAATTGCAGACACACCATGACCTCTGGGTAAAAACAAATATTATATATCAAGGTAGACATTGGACCAATTCCTTACTGATGATGAATTGCCAGGAAGATTAAAACAAGCTCTATTTGGCCAGAATATGCATGGCATACTGTTTCACTGCCTTGATCTGCATGCATGACAAGGGCATAGCAACGACAAATTTAGCCATGCAAGCATACATACGCAGATTTGGATAAATGACTGCAGCCTTACCACTATTTCTGCGGATTATTTCTGACATCTGAACATGTCATTTTGTCTTTCCTTTGTGCCTACCTTTGCTTTTAGTTTTTCCTGTTTATCCTTTTGCCATCCTGCTCTTAATATCTAGCATTCTTTGTAATAAAAGCAAGTCTCAAATTCTAAAGTTTGATAGATTACATTCAATCACTCTTATTTTATTAAAGCATATGAAGATAACTTGGCTTGATCTAATCTTTACCGTATGGATGCACTAAACTAGAGCAAATTGAAAATCATATTCTTAAAGAAAACAAAAACTTCCACTCATCGGTACAAGAAATAATAAGCAGACACGAATGGTAATAAATAAATGGAAAAGAATATAAATGAATGAAATAAATGAAAAAGAAAATAAATAAATGAAATAAATGAAAAAGATATCAGAAAGTGCCGCTCACAGCCCAAGTCCAATCACTGCTCCTGAGTTTCAGCTCACTCTTGCACACACAGACAAGGTTTGCTGTTTTGCAAGGTCTAGGGTCATGAACTTAGTCTCATGTGTGCATCCATATTGCAAAGACTGACCTGGCCGTCTACCCAAGATCTCAGCCATAATTCACACACAAATATAACGGCAAAAACGCATTTCATCTCCTGCAAGGTAATGAATGTAAAAAAATACCAGGCTAATCTTTTCTCAATGTATCTTTAACATAAAATAACTTTACTAATAAATAGGTTGCAAATCATATTCAAATTTCTACTCTAAGCATTTCAGTGATACATGAGGTTCCTTAGCTAAATTAGATAAAGATTTCATAGTTAAATAACTGTATATTTCACATAAAATTCCATACACATTTTGAGAAATAAGGGACGCATATTGAGGCATTTAATTTTAAAGCAAAAAATACCGTAATTTTTTTTCCTAGCAGTATTTTGCAATTCAGCACAACTAATGCACATAAATCTTACTTATAACCATAATACAATAATACAATAGAGACATAATACAATAGACACATAAGAACAACAAGGCCATAAATACAGTATACATATATATATAGATAAATATAAATGTAAATAAATAAGGTCATAAATACAATATCATTTTAAATACAACATAAACAAAAATAAACACAAATCTAAAATAGATAAGGTCATAAACACGATAAAAATTAAAAGAACAATACGGTCGCGAATCAAATTAAAATAAAGATCTAAACAGGAATTTTGATTCTGGATTTCGTTCAAAGGATCTATTTCCCTCTAAATCTCTTTATGGAGTAATATCTCGCTACGTGATTTAATCAAAATACTCTAGATAGAAACAATGAACACCAAAAAATCGAGGATTAAAGACGTATAATGAAATTAATATACTTTTTTTTCGCATAATTTCGGCGAAGATTTACCCTCGTCCGTCCGGCCAGGTATACGGTCGTCTTTTTGTTGGTCAAAAATTGACCTTATTTCACTAATTTGACCATCTTAAGGACGTTATTTATGTCGACCGGAGATCCAGTTTTGATACTCACTCGATAAAAGGGAGAGATAAGACACGGAAGCGACGATATTGGGAGATGTAAGAGAGGCGGTGGAAGTGGAAGTTTAAAATGCCGTTTTAAATGGACGTCGACG